ACACTTAAAATTTGTCAGTTTTAAAAGAAATCGATACATTTACTGACAGAATTCGAATTCCAAAAATTTCGGCGAAAAACAAAAATTTGATTTCCAGCGTTCAAAAATAAAATTTAATGGACACAGATGAAAGATTATATATTATTATCGCTGAAAAGTAAAAGTGGATAATCAATACCCCGTTCTTATCATTCTCTGTGTGAATCAGTTCCTTTTCTGTTGTACTCAAGAAATGCGAAAAATAGAGCATTGATCCCTCTAATATCGAGCAGGATATGCTTCAGGATTCCGCTACGGAAGTATAAAAAGCCCTGTTGCTAAGTCTTCAACTATTCAGCGTTCCGTCACTTTTTTCTTCTTTCATTGTTTAAAAAATGCTCATAGACACTGTGTCTATTAATAAAGATTTCCTGTCGATCTTTCTACTTCAGAACATATTCGCTCTTAATGACATATTGTTCAAGAATATATTTACTGTATTGTAATGAATTATAAGACATTCGCATGACATTCCATTCAATCATTATTATGCCATATAACGTGAGAGCTCGAATTCAATAATAAAAGCTGATTTAAGCATTAATTTTTTGAAGCCTTTTGCGGTTATTTTCCCAAAATGTAAAATGGATTTGGGGAACTTTTCAATTTTTTAATTATAATTAAGGAAAGAAGATCTGTCTTACAATTAGTCATAAAGTATTATCTGTGCATATCATATATATTCAACATTTCGTCCGTATTCATAAATTACAGGTAATATACAAATTGCAAAAAAAAGACCGCATGCTGATTGAAATTAGCATAAAAACATGCTATAAACCGAAGCAATTCAGCATGCACACAGAAAATAAAGTCAACAAAAAAAGATTCTATAACTGTGATTAAACCGAAATATTACTCAACAAATCAAATTAATGGAAAAAAAACATGCAGTGAATAAAACTACAAAATGGCATGCATCAACAACAGGTAGAAACAGTTGTTGGAGTGAATTGCAGATGAACGACGTAAATGAAAAGCATGCAGCAATTAGAATTAAACAAAAATAAATACCGAGAATAAAGTTAATAAGAAAGGATTTGATAACTGCAATTAGACAAACTGTTGTCCTATAAGAGTGGTTGACAGGAAAGCATGCAAAAAGCATGCATGAAAGGCATGAAACTGACAAAAAAATGATTGACAAAAAAAAAATGCGGTTAGTGAAACTACAGGAAAGGCATGCAATTAATGAAGTTGCAAAAAAAGACATGCAAAAAGTAAAAAATGAAAAGATTTTAAGAGAAACTGGAAAAATTTTATAAAGTTCCGCGATATTTCAAAAATTGGAGAAACTCGAAAGTTTAAGAATTCGAGATTAGAAATTCGAGAAGTCTCATGAATTTCCAATAATTTGAAAACTCCATTAATTCAGAAATGTAATTCAAAAAATAAAAGATTTGAGGGTTCAAAAATTCATTCCACAGTTCAAAATATTTTGAGAAAATTCAAGGATTTAGAAAATTTTTTCAATATTTTAGAAGTTGCACATTTGTTTACATATTAACTCATAAGTTATTCAAAAATTCCATCTTCGTCCATTTTATATTTAATTCGATTTATCCCATCAAACTGGTGATAGGTTATCTCAGTTATGGTAAGCACAGAATTGGGTACTAACTCATAATTTAACTCGAAAAAAAATGAACTAGCTACTATGACTAATCAAGGCTATGAAATGAGTGAAAGAATTTATAGAAACGAATTTAATGAGGAGGAAAGCGGTTTGAATTCTGATGGAAAATATGGAAATTTTATAGTGAAAAGATCGAACCAGTCAGAGATCAGAAAGAGTACGATATTCATTCTATTCGCTAAATACATCTGCCCGTAACATATCCCCAACTTAATGACCCATCAACTAACCGACAGTCAAATTATTATCGTAGGAATTCATAAAATCCTGTTTCATGCATCATACTTCCGTTCCGTTCCACTGAGCCGGATTCGCACTTCTGGCTCTGTGCACCTTTGGCATTGCACTTTGAAAAAGTATGCAGTAATCAACATATTGGCTGTTTAGTTTGCATATTTTGCATGATATTCGACACTTCAAATGAATCATCCGTTTTTATATATTACCAAATATTTATCACATCTTCATAACAATGTCTTTATGGCCTTAACTGCTGAAAAAACAACTGAATCATTCACCAAAATTCATCTGAACTGTGTCTGTGAAATAGTCAATCATTATATCTCTGAAACATTTTCCCCGGTAGAATTTTCTCCACCAAATTTTCGAAAACCAACCATTGCATACACAGGACCAGGATGGAAACGATTTCCATGGGCAACTCCAGTCATCGATGATTCATCAAGTAAACGTAACGTACTTAGCGGAATGTCTGGGAATGTATTACTGCAAACAAATATTCACAGTCTTATTAGATCAGAGAAAAAGCAAAGCCAACAGAACCCTGTTTACTTTTGCTGTGACATTTCCGTAATACAACAATATGTGATTCGGGAAACTGATCATGAATGTCTTGCTGAATATTCTTAATT